TCGTGAACGATTTGGGAAAGAGAGCGCACCGAGGGCATACGAACTGAAAAACAAGATCGTTGTCACATACGCGTAATGGGTGTACGTGTGACATCGGTAAGCGGCTTGTTGCACATCAAGAAAAAGAGAGGCTGTACGAGTTTCATATGGGTCTCGACAACGGGTTCGGAGTTATCAAAACCCAAATCCTTGCCACCCAACCAACTCCGGGTCTCGGGATAACCTATCATCTTGTTGCAGAAGATGACCGACAAAAGCTGATAACCGAAGATAAGAAGCCTACTGTGGAAGCCGCCGCCTTTAAGGCTTTTGTTCCTCCAAAACGTGACAACTTTTTCTCCTCACAACAGAAACTGAAGACCTATTCGAAAACAACAAAACAAGAAGAAGAGGTACAACATTGCACTCATTGTGATCGGGATGGACATAATCGAGAAGGTTGCTTCAAACGGATTGGTTACCCTGAGTGGTGGCCAGGGAAAGCGAAGGGAGACAAGACAAAGCCGAGGACCTCCTGCGTTGAGGGTGGTTCGAGTCCCATTCCCGGACTCACTATCGAGCAATACAATCTCTTCTTGAAACACTTTGAATGTGGAACCAACACAGGTGATGAAGGAAACAAACGAGTAGCCAACATGACAAGTAGAATTGATAATAAGGATGATTGGATTGTTGATTCGGGGGCTACCAATCACACAATCTATCTAAGTAATATCCTTGTTAACAAAAGAAAAGACCCTCTTTGAATGCCCGTGGTTATCCCTAATGGAGATACCATCCCGGTTGAGGGTTAGGGTGATTATACTCTACCGGGAGGCACCAAGATCGAGGGCATATTACATGTACCAAAGTTTACTTGTAATCTTTTATCCGTTAGCCGATTAACCAAAAACCTTCAATGTGTTGTGACATTCTTTCCTGATTTTTGTGTAATGCAGGGTCTCCGTTCGAGGAACTTGATTGGTGCGGGTAAGTGCAAGGGAGGTCTATACCGAATGGGGATGTTTGAGGAAGAAAGGAAAGCTATGACAATCATTGTTAAAAGATGGCATAAGAGGTTGGGTCACACATCGCAAGAAAAGCTAGCTAAAGTTGATTTTCTCAAAGGTGTTTCCTTTAATCTTAGAAATAGTGTTTGTGATTCCTGTTCCAAAGCTAAACATACGAGATCTTCTTTTCCGGTAAGTGAAATTAAAACCAAAGCATGTTTTGAAMTATTACATTRTGATGTATGRGGYAAATATCGAATTCCTTCRTTCTCTGGAGCAAATTATTTCTTGACCATTRTGGATGATTTCAGTAGGAATGTTTGGATTTTTCTYGTTAAATATAAAAGTKATGCTAGTACYTGTTTGGTGAATTTTTGMAAAATGGTTGAAAACCRGTTTAATAARAGCATCAAAAGAATAAGATGTGACAATGGTGGGGAATTCAYGTCAAATCTYATGTTGAACTTTTAYACCAARCAAGKCATTTTGTTAGAAACCACRTGTCCTCACACGCCTCARCAAAATGGGGTTGTTRAGCGTAAGCACCGACATTTACTCGACACTGCTCGAGCTGTGCGTTTTGAAGCCAATTTGCCAAAAAGGTTTTGGGGGGAATGKGTTCTTACCGCTGCRTACATCATCAACYGATTACCCTCTAAAACTCTTGGTGATAAAACTCCATATGAATTWCTATWCAACCAAAAACCCGAATATGATCACATGAGGGTCTTTGGTTGTCTAACTTATTTTTGGAGTATCGAAACAAAGGGTGACAAGTTCGAAGTAAGGGGGAGACCCGGAATTTTTCTAGCTTATCCTCAAGGGACAAAAGGCTACAAAATATTTGATATTGAAAGCAAGAAAATGGTGGTGTCACGAGATGTGAAGTTCCATGAAAGCACTTTTACCTTCCCAGCTCAAACTCAAGCTTCCAATGATTCTAATGTCTTTGTTCCCATACAAGCTCAAGACGTTGAAGGCCAAAATCATGAGCAAAATCACGAGGTGGAAGATGATGGGCCTAACTCTAGCCCACCGAACTTGGATGGGCACATGATGGATAATGATGGAAGTAGGCCAAACACAATCCATGAAGAGATACCTCCTCAAAATCTCGAAACACACACTGATATGGGAAACTCTCGACCAAAGAGGGACCGAACACAACCTAAACGCCTGAATGATTTCATTGTTGATCTTCCCCCTTCGGTTGACCATGCACATACCGCATCAACTCAAGCCACCTCAACGGTACATCCCATTGCCAATTATCTTTCTTACAATAATTTTTCTAATACTCACGAGAATTTCTTGGCGGCCATCACCAACACTGATGAGCCGAAAACTTTTAAGCAAGCCATGCAAGACCCGAGATGGATTGAAGCCATGAAGAAGGAGATTCAAGCCCTTGAACAAAATAACACATGGACCATTGAGTCTTTGCCGGAAGGAAAACGAGCCATTGACTCTAAATGGGTCTACAAGATCAAATACAAGCCAAATGGAGATGTCGAAAGATATAAAGCGAGACTCGTCGCAAAGGGGTTCACCCAGATCAAAGGAGAAGATTTTCATGATACGTTTGCTCCAGTAGCTAAACTGGTAACTGTTCGAATGTTATTATCCGTGGCTACTAAAAATAATTGGTTTATCCACCAGCTCGACGTCAATAACGCCTTCCTTCATGGTGATCTTGATGAAGAAGTGTATATGAAGATACCACAAGGTTTTTTCACGGAGAAAGACGATCGTGTTTGCCGTCTGCGAAAATCTCTCTACGGTCTCAAACAGGCCTCTCGAAACTGGTATCAAAAGTTTACCACTGCCCTCCTCAGTCTCGGCTTTTCTTCATCCAAGGCAGATCATTCGCTTTTTCTATACAAACATGACAACACTTTCCTTTCCATTCTCATCTACGTCGATGACGTCATCATCGTTGGAAACGATTCCAAGAAGATACACGAAGTCAAACAATGTTTGCATGACAAGTTCAACATCAAAGATCTTGGGGAACTGAAATATTTCCTTGGAATAGAGGTGGCCCGAACTTCTCGTGGTCTCGTTTTAAGCCAACGAAAGTACACTCTTGATATATTAGAAGATTGTGGCATGGGAGGATGTCGCCCGAGTTCATTCCCCATTGAACAAAATCTAAAGCTTGTTATGGATGATCAAGAACCCAAGGTTGATGCCAGTAGCTATCGACGTCTTATTGGTCGACTCCTTTACCTCCAGGCCACTCGTCCGGACATAGCCTACTCGGTTAACACTCTCAGTCAGTTTGTTTCAGACCCCCGTCAGAGTCATATGGATGCCGTGTCTAGAATTCTTCGATATCTCAAGGCCACTCCCAGTCAAGGCATACTTTTACCGAAAGAAGGTGGCACGAATCTGGTTGCATACGCTGATTCAGATTGGCTTGGTTGCCCTCTCACTAGGCGTTCTCGAACCGGTTACCTTATTCTTCTTGGTGGTGCTCTTATTTCGTGGAAAACGAAAAAGTAGTCCGTTATCTAACGCTCATCCGCTGAAGCTGAATATCGTGCCATGGCTTTAACTGTTAGTGAACTCATCTGGTTACGATGGCTTTTACAAGAGCTAGGCCTTCCACAACTTGGCTCTGCGATACTTTTCTGCGACAATCAAGCAGCTCGGCATATCGCCAACAATCCGGTTTTTCACGAACGCACTAAACATGTTGAAATGGACTGTTATTTCGTTCGTGAACGTGTTGAATCCAAGGAAATTTGTCCTATGTCCATTGACTCAAAGCTTCAACTTGCTGACCTTCTCACAAAGAGGCTTGGAGCTTCGCAACTTCGTTTCTTACTGGACAAGCTGGGCGTTGTCAATTTACACGCTCCAGCTTGAGGGGGAGTATTGGATTTTAATTATTGGTCCATATCCTCTCCGTATTTATCAATATCCTCTCCTTATTTGTCTCCTTATTTAGTGGTTTCCTTTTTATGTTTTCTTGTTTATATATAGGATCCGTTTCTTCTCTTAATGAGATTTGAACAACAATATCAATAAACAATCGATATCTTGAGTTTATAAGGATGTAGTGGAAAACCTCATCTAACTCAGGTTCGAATCCAGACGCTACTGAATGGCCATGGAGGTTACCCGGTAAGTGAGGGGAAAAAGCTTCTTACCCAGTAAACACTTATCGGGTTTAAGACATTTACCAACAATCCATTTTGACGGCTGAGAATGTTACTCAATAAGGTAAGAGTGAGTGCTTATCGGACAAGCATTTGATAAACGACCTCTTTTTCTTGCATGAATTTCAGCAATGATACATAGAAGGTTAAACGAATCGAGCTTTTAACAAGCCACTTGAGCTTGAACTCGTTTATCTCGAGCTCAAGCTTAATAATTCTTGAGTTCGAGTCAATCTCAAACATAAAATAAAGCTCGTTTAACTTAACGCCAATGTTCGACTCGACTCGTTCGAAAGCTCGATTAAACTTTACTAGTCGAGTACCATTAGCACATACACTTATTTCGAGCCAAACACACACACACACACATATGTGTTCATAAATTAAGAATCAAGTTCAAATAAGAACGATACCTATTTTGAGAAAATAAGTCGAATCACATATGATTTTACACTAATATTAGTACAAATCACACGTGATTCACACGACCAAAAGACACGAACATTCTTTTTGGTCGTAATGTAAAATCACATGTGATTTTGCACGTGATTTGGCCGTTTTCGTATTCACTTAAATAGTTAGCATTTTCGTTTGATCCTCCATCTATAAATTCAATAATCAAAATATAAAATCATCAAGTTTGAGAAACTAAACGAGTTAATCGACCTCAAATTCGAACTCATAAACAGGCATCAAGCTCAAGCTCAAGCTCAAACACTGAAAACATATTCGAGCTCGAGCTTAAACCCTTGAAAAAGTTAGTCGAGCTCAAGCCTGATATTAATTTACGAGCCTAGCTCGACTAACCTGCTACTTGACTCGACTAGGCTCGTTTACACCGTTAACGGTACCAAATAAAAGCTACAAGACATGTTTTACTTTGCATCATCAACAAATGTCTACAAATGCCATCAAACCACTAAGTTTTAACAATCAGAAATTTCTGAGTTATTTTTGCCAAATATTTTTAGAACTAAAAACATAAATTAATTCACTTGGATCAACAACAACATTGTTTACAAACTAAAGCCCAAGAGAAGGACACTGCTTTCGAGCATGTTCCGGTATCAGTTTAGCCAAAAGTTCCAACGATGCGCCTTTCAACTCTGCACGCGAGATAACAAACGTAAGAATCACGAGCGTAAGGAAAATTGTGAACCGAGAAAAAGAAAACGTTTTGAGTTTTAACCTTGAGATTTGAAATTGAAGAGGGGCGGCAATGGGCGGCCATTTGGGAGACGGGTGCTTGGGTCACGAAGCTCGTCGAAGAAAGGATGGACGCAGGCCTCCAACTGTTCAAGAAAAGGAATAGACGGTGTGAGTACTCGTGAAGGGGAAAGTTCAAATGAGAACCGTATTTGAGAACCATTATATGCATATATAAACACATACACACACATTGATGCTTATACACTAATAAAGTATGTACCTGTCAATTAGTATATTCATCGATATAGAGGGAGGTTCAGGAAACCTCCAAAAAATGAAAAACTGAGGAACACCCTGGTAACCATTCAACTGGACGGTATGCACACGTGCATACAAGTAACTGAAGTTGTTTTTTTGTTTTTTATGCACGTTTCCATGTGCATATCAGACAAATTGCTTACAAATTACTTGTATGTACATGTGCATACCGTCCAGATCAACGGTTACCGAGGTGTTCGTCAGTTTTTCATTTTTTGCGATTTTCCCTGAACCTGACCCCTCGATGTATATGTACTATATACAAGTATATATGCATTGGTGCATATACTTATTGAAATTCATATAGTGTATATGCATCAATGTATATACTGCTAATAGGTTCTCAAAATATTTGTCGTAGTCTCTTAGGTCCCGTTTGGTTTGCGGGACTAGATTCAGAATTGGAATTGAATTTCATTCCAATCCCATGTTTGGTTTGAAAGATTTCTTGGATTTGAAATCCCACAAACATAGGATTTTTTTGAAATCCCATCAGGTTGGTATTTCAAGGGATTTCGTAGCATTTGTATGTTATAATGATTTAAAATACGTTAAAAATATTTATTTTGTAATAGTCAATTAATAAGAAGATAATTTAATTATTTTAATAATTATTTGTAAAATTTTTATAAATTATTGATAAATATTGCACATTCCGAATCCTACTAACCAAAGATTTCAAATTCTTCCAGGGACGGACCCAAAGATTTCAACTATATGAAACAAATATAGGGATATTTTTCACAAAATCATCATTGATCTGTTGGTTAGTTCATTGCTTTTCATTTGTGAGGTCCTGTGTTTAAGTCTTTTATTGCAAATTTTTTTCAAAAACATAATAAATCTGAAATTAAAAGCTAAAAACTAAAAAAATGACACTAACGGATTCAAACTTGGGCCTAGGGTGGAAGAAAAGACTTGCAAACCAACTCAACAAAAGAGAAACTTGTGTCCTCATTGTAGTTTCAAAATATATACAGTGGCACACAAGAAATTGATACGATGGCACTTTTCACGACCCTATAATTTTTTTCACAATAGTGGAACGAAACGGTAGCACGTGCCACCATAAAACCCCCCCGGGTCCGTCCCTGAATCCTTCCACGAAATCCAAATCCCTCAAAACCATTCCATCAAACCAAAAGACCCTTGTTAAAAGATATTGGCTTTTAAAGTCGTTCATGAAGTAGTGACCCCAATACAAAAGAAACAAAAAGGAAAAGCATATTTGATCCTTAAGGAGAAGCAAATTGGTCTAATCTCCGACAATGTGAAGTGAGAAAAGATATGATGGACTTACAGCATTGCACCGCAAATTAGGAGAATATTGGAGGAGTCTTGAAACAAGATCTACAGCTTCCGGGGGCATTCGCTTGTGAAAAATCTATGTAGAAGAGCCAAATTTTAGATTACGTGTGAAGCGACAGACCTTATAAATTTTTTCAAGTAGTGGCACGGACCGACCCAATGTAGTGCATGCAGTGGCATGGGCCACTGCTTCGTTCCTCCGCCGTAGCGTAAAAAATTATAGGGTCGTGAAAAGTGCCACCATATATATTTTGAAACTACAACGAGAACACAAGTTTCCCTTGGTAGAGTTGGTTTGCAAGGCTTTTTTTTCCACTCCAGACTCAGAGTTCAAGTCCCATTAGTGTTTTTCTTAGTTTTTAGTTATTAGTTTCAGATTTATTATGTTTCTAAAAAAACTTGCAATAAAAGACTTGAGCATAGAACCTCACGTATAAAAAACAATAAACTAACCACCAAATCAATGTTGATTTTGTGAAAAATATCCATATATTTGTTTCTTATAGTTAAATGGTGCCACCACTTGAAAAAAAAATCCCAAGTCCATCTCTGAGTGGTGGCACCATTTGGCTATAAGAAACAAAGATATGGATATTTTTCACAAAATCATCATTCGTCTATTGGTCAATTCTTTGTTTTTATATGTGAGGTCTTGTGTTCGAGTCATTTTATTGCAATTTTTTTCATAAACATAATAAATCCGAAATTAAAAGCTAAAATTTACGAAAAATGACAAATGAATTTCGAACCCGGGTCTAGGTTGGAAGAAAAGCCATGCAAACTAACTTTACCAAGGGAAACTTGTGTCACCATTGTAGTTTCAAAATATATGGTTGCACAGAACAAAATGACACGGTGGCACCTTTCACGATCCTATAAATTTTTACACTACGACAGCGGACAGAGAAACGAAGCAGTGGCCTGTGGCACCGTATCCTATAGGGTAGGCCCACCCCTGATGTGAAATATTACTATCACTAAATAGCAAAAGACATTAAGAGTGGGATCCTCACTTTGTGCCATGGGTGTGCTTTGATTTGAGGGAACTTAAACTCCGTGTAGTTTGGATTCATACATTTGATTTCTTCACGAGTTGGGGTACCAAGGACCTAGAAACAACAATTTAACAAACAAATAAGCAACACAAAAGATTCAATTTGGAAAATAATAGGAATCTATCGGGTATGTTGACTTGCCTTGATGATTTCAACAAGCTGGTCAACTCCACTCTCACCTGGGAAAAGTGGCTAAAAGTGCAGAACGGGCGCCAAGGAAAATATTTAAATACATCAACCCACAAAATATAGCAAGTAGCGGAAACTTCAAATGAGAAACATAAATATTTTGAGAACCTGGGAACCAACTATTCCATGTATTATTCATGATAAATAACCCCGAGGGTGCGTTTGGTAAGCTGGACAGGACAGAACATGGATTGATGTTCCAAATTTGGCACGAATTTTATGCAGACAAGACAGGAACAGGGTGGAACAGACCTCATGGAACAAGGTGAAACAGACCTATGTTTTACCAATATAATCTTAAAATGAAACATAATTCTCTTCTAAAACATCAAATATGTCTCCCTCTTCATATTTTATTCGTTTTTAAAATTTTGTTTTATTGTATTTTATACCCTTTGAACTCACTTTATTGTCGTCAAAATATTATTTCCATACAGTTTCTATATTTTGATTAATTTATGTAATTTATTAAATATTAATAATAATAAAAATTAGAAAATAAATAATACTTTTATTTTGGTGTCATTTTAATCGTCTTGACAAAAACTTTTTAATGATATATTTTGTTATAAAAGATATTTATTTTATTCTAAATTAATAAATTACATAAATTAATGAAAATATATAAACAGCCCATTAGGGGTAAATTGGTCATGTTATCTGTTTTGTCCGACCAGTTTTGTCTTACCAAACACTGGACAATTGTTCTGTTTTGTCCTGTCCTATCCTATCTAGATACCAAACGCACCCTAAATAATCATGAATATCATGCATTTCTATGAATCATGAATATCTATCACAACATTCATCACGAATAAAGCATGAATAGTTGGTTGTCATGTTCTCAAAATAAGAACGTTCTCATATGTACCTGCCTCATGGCAAGTAATAGCTCTATATAAAGAGATGATGTTGAAAAGAACCTGTCCTAGAAGAAGTTCAGCAAGGACGCAACCAACTGACCATATATCAATTGCAGTAGTGTATTCAGTTGCACCAAATATGAGTTCAGGTGCACGATAATACCGAGAACAGATGTAGGATATATTTGGTTCCCCTTTGACCTGTTACACATAGGCAAGAGAAAATTAAAATCAAGAAAGACCGGAACCTTGTTGGAAGGAGTCAACGTGAAAAAATGAGGCCGAACCCACAGGGGTGTCCTAAAAGAATGGCGGTCTTCAAATTGGAAACTCGAAAATCATGGGGTACTTTTGTACCGAGCTTGTTGGACGTGAAGGCACCCATCGAAGTTTGAAAAGGCAAACACCACACATACCAATACCCATCAAATTTAGGGGCTGTTTGGTTGGTTTCCATTAAATTCTGTATGGATAAAGTTGTCTGTGTGCATTAATCTGTCTGTATAGATTGGGAAGATTTTTGTTAGCGAGGGGTTTTTCATAGATGGAAAGGCTTAACTGGTAGGGGCATGTTTGTGAAAAACTTCACTTTCTGCATAAAGCTCCCCCCTAAAGCTTACTGAATAAGCCATTACCAAACAGTCATGTATAGGGGACTGAATAAGCTGTGAGTCCCATTAAGCTCACTAAGCTGCTAACAAACTGACCCTTAGTCTTCCACAGCTTAGACCTGGCAACCAAAACAGCAGAATCACCACCTAAATTCTCTCTCATGCACATAATCGTGCACATACAATCCAACGACCTCCGACCCACTGCAACAGAAGTCCTAGATTGCAATAGACAGACTCCCTCCGGCCCCAAATAAATGTCCAAAATGAAAAGGCACACTATTTGGGGAGGGAAATGAAGGTTGACTGATAAGGGACTGGATACGTCCTCTATCAGATGCGTTTTAAAATCGTGCATATCTGGTACGTTTGGCCTGGGATGTTATGGATTACCACGAGATGGCTAAACAATATAAGACCAAGCCACTTGAATTGCAAACGTCTCTAATCTCTAGCGTCTATCTGCTATTTAGACAACCTTATCCGTTGAAAGCAAAGCTAGAAGATAAAAGTAATATATAAAAGAATATAGTAAGCCAAACGAATATATATAGGGTCAGGTTTAGGGGAAAACCATAAAAAAGTGAAAAAATTGAGGAACACCCTAGTAAAACCTCTCATGCGGACGGTACGCACATGTGCATCCAAGTAACTCGTAAGCAATTTGTCCGGGATGCACATGTGCATAACATGCATATATGCATAACAATAAAGAAACAACTTCAATTACTTGTATGCACGTGTCCATATTGTAAAGATGAATGGTTACCAGAGTGTTACTCAGTTTTTCATTTTTTGGGGGGTTTTCCCCTAATCCTCCCAATCTCTCTCTCTATATATAGCGTTTCTGCATTGAAATTAACTTATGATCAAACTTAAAATTACCAGAACTTTTGCACTCCCAAAGTCGCAGAGTTTTAGTTGGTGAGTATGAGGGTTGACCTGCAAAGCAAGAGGTTTATATGTTATAACATGAAACCCTTATAAAGCCTTCCATTTGGTGTTTAAAAAGCGAAGAGAATAAGCCTTAAAAGGCGCACCAGAAGATTTTGCGGTTTAATGTCTCGGTGGCAAACACCTATTGCATGAATATATGCTAGCGCTCTAAAAATCTGAAATAAACTCAAGAGTATCACACGTTAGTTGGATGATTTACTTCCACAAAATAAATTCAAAGGCCAGTTTGCACTTGTAATTCATCTCAGCCAAGTCTTAACAGAATAAGTCTAGGCATGATGCATAAAAACATCCTCAGCAAATACAAGTATAAGCACGGGATTAGGTACCAAAACAATCATAGTTGTGTTAAACTTCTTCTAGAAGCTTGCTGGAACTTTGTGAGCAAGGATAAGGTTTCAAACAACACACATAAAAGAAAAATACTTGGGGGGTGTTTGGTTGGTTTTCCAATAAGTCCTGTATGGATAAAGTTGTCTGTGGATTAATCTGTCTCTATAGATTGGGAAGGTTTTTGTTTAGAAGTGTTTTTCATAGATGGAATGAGCATTTTTTTTTATTGGGAAGGACATGTTTGGAAAAAAAACTTGGTTTTCGGCATAAAGCCCCCCCCCCCCCCTTCAGAAGTTTACTGAATAAGCCACTTTCTATTTCCTTAAGCCACTACCAAATTGTCATGTATAGTTGACTGACTGAGCTGTGAGTTCCATTAAGCTGCTAACAAACATGCCCTTAAGCAGGCTCATGAATAGAAGATGAAAATAACCAAACTTTACATGAGAAGTACAAACCTGATACGTGTATAGTTTGACATATATCATAGGCATCCTCTGATTTGCCTTACTGTAGTGTCTTGTTACGCGATATGCTGTCTCTGGCACGTATTCAAGAACCAAATTGAGATAAAGCTCGTCCTTGTCTGTCGTTGAAAAGAAGCAGTGTTTGAGTGAAACAACGTTGGGATGATCAAGAAGACGCATTGTCTGCAATTCACGGTTCTTGTATCGCTTATCCTGCAACACTTTTTTAATTGCAACAGCTTCTCCCGTTTCTAAGCACTTCGCCTGCAGAAGTGAAGGTATGATAAAAAATGATAGATGGTCAAGGTTCAAAATGGCGTGAGGACGAGGTCAAGCCTTACATGCCACGGCGAGGATGCGGCGTTTTCAGGGCGTGGCATAAGGCGGCAAATTTGTATGTCATATATAGAATTATATATATACTAGAGAGAGAGAGGTTCAGGAGAAGACCCCAAAAAAATGGAAAACTGAGAACACCCTGGTAACAATTCATCTAAACAGTATGCACATATGCATACAAGTAATTGAAATCGTTTTTTGGTTTTTATGCACATGTGCATGTTATGCATACCGGACAAATTGCTTACAAATTACTTGTATGCACATGTGCATACCATCCAGCGGAACAGTTACCAGGATGTTCCTCAGTTTTTCATTTTTTTACAGTTTTCCCCCGAATCTGACCATATATATACACATGTATGTTTTCTATATATTATTCAATCAGGTAATGATATTAAAAAAAAACTTGCATTAATATTAGAAGAATAGTCTTTTATTAACTATTCAAAATAGAACGTAGAATGATAATTTTACAACTTCGTTTTAATCGTGAGTCAGTGAAATGTAAGAATTAGTGAAACTGTGAGTGATGTGATTAGATAAATCTATAAAAAGTGTAAAATCACAAAAACAGAAAAAATATTTTTTTATGAAAAAAATCACGCCTTGTAAAAAAAACGCACGCTGTGGTGCGCCATGGCGTGAGCCACGCCTTATAGAAACAATATAGGCCTTATCGTAACGGCAGAGATGCATCTTACGCCATATTGCTCCATGGCAGACGCACACTTTTGAACACTGAAGATGTTGTACATGAGGTTAACAGCCAATTTTGCAACATCATTGGATTTATGGATCTTGACGTTGACCTTTCGTAAAGATCATTGACAATTCAGAACATATGTCTAAAGTTTTACCTGAAATACGATGCCAAAAGAACCCTGGCCAACGACACGCTCCGCCATATAGCTTATCGTCTACAACACCAATCAAGAAAGATAAAGTTAAATATATAAATGTTTTTAAAACAAAAACTGCAAGAGATGATTAAGGCTTCATTACTCATTAAGTAGAAGGCTTCATCACTCAGCTCCAAGAGGTGAGTTTCATAGATACAGCCATATTCATTCCATTTCTACCCTTTCATGAAAAAGAAATCAAGAGACCCTCAACAAAGAAATTGTCCCACCACACCCATCTGCCTCAACGTTCCTTGCCTTGTTGGTATCATTCAGACATATTTATTCCATATTTATATCATTCACAGTTTTTTCAGTACAACAAGCACACATCAATGTAACTTTATCAATACAGTCAACTAAATCCCTACAGACAGCTTAACCCATTCATGACTTAATGAAAAAACAACCAAACAGCCCCTTAACTCATTGATCATATATTAACCATATTTTCCCACAAAACATTTAACATGGTTTGTTGACACCGTCCAGCATCCAAACCAATAACACCAATAAACTATCAAACATGCGTCAAACAAATTTCTTGTTTCAAAGGAACTATGGTATTGTTTTAATCTCCGCTACGCTTTACACATTACAGGATTCTTTTTGATGAACTATAACCCTGTCTTCTTTATCAATTGTCATCCCATAAAATCAAGTTTATGGAACTAAGCAATTTTAAGATACAATTACATGTCGCTTGTGATGATAGAAATGATGGTACTAGGAAAGTACAACATTTCTAGGCAAGATTCTGCTTAGGGCCGATTGTTAGCAGCTTAATGAAACTTATAGCTTATTTGGTCAACTATTCATGACTGTTTGGTAGTGGCCTAATGATATAGAAAGTGGCTTATTCAGTAAGCTTTTAGGGGGGAACTTTATGCAGAAAGTCAAGTTTTTTCCAAACATACCCCTCCCTATTAAAAAACAAGCTCCTTCTATCTATGAAAAGCCCCTCCAAACAAAACCTTCTCAATCTATACTGATAGATTGATTTACACAAACAGCTTTATCCATACAAGACGTAAATGGAAAACCAACCAAACAGCCCCTTATTCCATATTCTGACAAATTGATTGAAAAATACCTGCTTTGGTTGACCATTTCTACCTCCGATCGTAGTAACAATTATGTGTCCAGTTTCAGTCCCGTTACCATCCACCACGGTTGCCTCCATTTCCTAAAGCACAAGGCAATCGTGAGAGAATTGCAGTACAGAAGCACCCAACATATATAAGACGAAAGTTCAAAACGATTTTGCCTAACTCAATGAATAGCAACCTTTTCCACCTTGTCGTCTCTAATCTTCATATCGTTGATTTCCTTCGGCAGTTTTTCAACAAACATAGCCTTGCCAACAGCTTCTCCACCTGCAGAAGGAGCCATTCCACCGGAAGCCATTTTGGGTCCAACCAAGTCAAGGAATTATATTGTATTTCACTTAGACGCCACTCAGATTATTGAGCATCTGCATAACAAACAAAATACAAGACATCACTATCCTTAAAAGAAGTTCATAATCATAATCTAGAACACTTGCATCAAGGACAAATCCGTCATTAGACTTGCAAATCCGCATTCTAACGCATCCTTAGAGCATCTCCAATGGAGGTTCTCATAAAAACCCAATTTTTGCACTTTTGTTTGTCACATCATTTCCACCTCACCAAATTAAGAACTTACATAAAACTTCACAACGTTAGTTCTTATAAGAACCCAAAGGGCCTTTGGCCTAGCAATATGTGAGTCCTTGGCCTCCTAGGAGGTCAAGGGTTCAAACCTCACCAAAGGTGAGGAGGGTGTGTGAGTTTATTTGTTCTATTTGCCATATATAAATATTATATACTTCAAAAAAGGGGAACCCATTTTGTGGGTTTCCATCTACTTTTTCAACATCAATAACAATTATAAAGTCAATAAAATATATAAATGAACCAACAAAAAAGTCATTTCACACCAACTTCAAGGTAAGAACCAAGGTTCTTGTACAAGAACTTGAAGGAGGCGAGGTTCTTATAAGAACTTTCCACAATGTTGGTTCTTGTAAAAAGCTACACTTTTTGCTTATAAGAACATTGCATTGGAGATGCTCTCATTAGTTCAAAGTCATACTTTGCAAGATCCAGCCGTTATGTCATTGGTAAAGTACAAACTCACATATCAACGTGTTATGTTACGCATTTTAGCAAACCAGAAGACGAGAGGGGACATTGTCACCTTGAAATCAACATAGTTGGCACTCACTATTACAGGTAACCATGATGGTCCGTTGAGGCGGTTGAGCTGTTGGTTGGTTTTCCATTAAGTCAAGTATGGAAAAAGTTGTCTGTGTGGATTAATCTGTCTATGTAGATTGAGAAAAAATTTGTTTGGGATGATTTTTTCATGAATGGAAAGAGCATTTTTTTCTAATTGGGAGAGACGGGTTTGGAAAAAAACTTGACTTTCTGCATAAAGCTCCCTCCTAAAAGCGTACTAAATAAGCCATTTTCTATATTATTAAGCCACTACCAAACAGTCATGTAAAGCTGACCGAATAAGTTGCGAGTCTCATTAAGCTGCTAGCCTGCTAACAAACTGGCCCTATTTCTCATCCACCAAAACACAAGTTGCATCATGTAACGACCTGCTTCTAGCAATACTTGGCGACAATAATGTACAGAAACTTTCAGATTAATAGCACTGGCAATGTTTTGCTTCTAAGCATGTTGAGATATCTCTCTAATATCTCATTCGTATCCCTTTCTTGTAAACAGTTCTCATTTTGGGTTTGTGAAAAGCTTCCTTTCCATCAAATAATTGAAATATAGAACCCTAGAACAACGCTAAAAATCTCCTACACAATTGGAAGGTGCGTTACTTTTTTTTGTTACTGTTTTTCTTTTCTCTATGGAATGGCTCATAAATTTACAGGCATACTAGTAGTAGTACTTTGAAAAAGGAAAATGATAATGTTACAAGGGCAGCCCAAGTGAACTTATTTAGATTTCATGATCAAGTTCTGGTATTTAAGTTGTTGATTTTCTAAATCATCATTACCCGTCATGTTATTCAAGAAACAACTCAAACTCAGCTTCTTCTTCTTTGGTTAACCATGGGTGTCCAGGCTCATCCCGGGGGCCCTGGAGAACAGAAGTTTTCGAATTCCCAAATTGGTAGGAAGCGGTTTCGCTCTTTTTTTTTTTTTTTTTTTTTTTTTTTTTTTTTTTTGTATTGTCGATCTCTGATGGCGATTGGAATGATATAGATTGTTTTTCAATGCAATTGCTAATGTTAAGACGAGCCAAATGTTGGATGTGGGTTCCGTCAGCAAGCTGCACATGCTAGCTAGCCTGTTGTTGAAGGAATCTGAAAAGGAATAAACACTAGAAGCTTTATATGCATAGGATGACTAGCATACATTCCACTGTTTCTTTTTGGTTAACCGTGGGTGTCCAAGCTCACCTCGACTCGTCCCAGGGGTTCTCACCCTCGAGAACAGCCTGGAAAATTCCATTGGACTTGAACCGTGACCTATTATGATTTCTCCTAATAGAATGTTAGATGGTGTCATGGTGATAAGAAAATAAAAGGTGGAATCTATGTTAGCTATCATCCTCTTATAAACCTTATGATGTTTCTTCCTTTTCAGGTCCCTTCAACAATTCAACTTTTCAGGTCCCTTCAACAATTCAACAACAGGCTAGCATTTGCAGCTTGCTTCATAACCCCACATCCATCATTTGGCTAGTCTTAACATTACCAATTGCATTAAAAAACAATCTATACCATTCCAATCACCAAAAGAGATCTCCAACACAAAATTCCAAAAAAAATAAAAACTAGGGCAAAATCATTTCCTACCAATTTGACAATTCCAAAATTTCTGATCTCCAATCCTCAATCAATCCTTCAACTTTCATTCTTCCCACATAAATCCAGCTCAAAATTCTAACCCCAAACAAAAATCAAACAACAACAACAACAACAACAACAACAATAACAAACCAAATATAAATCAAACAATATTTACCCGTATGATATAGCTGAAAAATATCTCGAAATCTGCAAAACTTGGATCAAATTAAGCACCGAAAATTTGTCTTTTTTTTTTACCTACAAGAATTGAAATAAATGTTTTAGAGAGAGAAGGTAAAGCACCGAGATGTTGCAGAGATCTTCTTTCTTGCAAGATTTGACCATGTGCGACTCTCTCTCTCTCTCTTCCCCTCTCTCTCTCTAGAATTCTTTTTTTGATTTTTGATTTTTTTTTTGCAGGGCGGACTTCAAATGGGTTTTATGAATATTTTGTCTGTTAGCAGTTTAGAGGTCCGTACAGACATCTGACGTGGAAATGGTTGAACGGCGATCAAATAAATACTACTGACATTAAAATAATCGGGGGTTTGTTTAGCCTACGGAGAGGTGCAGTGTAAATATATATAGATTGACAGGTATTAAAGATGTTTATAGCCGTTGATGTTGTTGAAAATAAGTTTGACCCTTGAGGGTCTATTCACGCGCCAACTAATTTTGACTCTCAGAGAAAAAGAACAAAAGCCAAAGCGTTTTTAGCACGGAAGTTTGTTCAACCTTAATAATTCAATTGTTTTTATTTTATTTTTTTAACGGTTGATGTTTGGTTAATTTGTGTACCCATGAGAATGAGACGGGAACCTCAATCTTTTTTCCGTCTTTGATTATTTATTTTTATTTTCGTTTCCGTCTCCACCGAGAAATACAATCACATCCCCATCTCTAACGGGAAACGAGGATTCCCAACAGAAAAACGAAGATTTTTGTCATTCATATAAGTTATTTTAAGTTAAATATGTAAGAGATCATACATGTTTAAATGTCAAATATTTTCAATAAACCTAAAACTAAAATGAATTTAATTTAATACAAAAAAACCACATCATCGTATAATAATTAATAACCTAAAACAAAAAAAAAATCAATTTAATCCAAAAAAAAAAAAAACTTAAAGTCAAATGTACCAAAAGATATTAAGTAATATAAAACTATATCGAGTAATATACAAAACTTATCGAGTAGTTGTATTTTGACTTGACATCCAAATATTACATATTAACATATAAAAAAATAACAATTTTAGATTATAAACCTGGTTAGGAAATTATGATTTACCGTTTTAGTTGAAAAAAATAATATACATATATATATATATATATATAATTCATTAATTGATATATATATATATATATATATATATATAACGGGTACGGGGCAGGGAGTACGATCCCCGTCTAGTCCCCGGTTTGAGACAAACGGGGATCCCCGTCCCCGACCGAGGTAGGTGGACCGGGTTCCCCGACGAGTCGGGGCTCATTCTCATGCCTAAATTTGTGTGTACCTTCATTAATTTTATGGGTCTTAAAGAACAGTTAAAAAAAATCCTTAGTGATCTTACAAAACTCGAATTGGTAACCTTTAAGAAAAATCTCCAAAAGCTCAATTTTTTTGTCACTTGATAAACCCCACAAAGGTATTAATTCAATACTTTATTATAGAGACTTGAGATCACGTGAGATAAGGTTGTTTTCGTGAGACACGTAAAACAACATTTTTATGCTTGAAACTTCACAGCAAAACAATGTGAGTGTAACCTTCACAATGTTTTTGTTGTGAAAGTTCGGTTTTTTTTTTTTACCTTCATAACATTTTGTTATGAAGTTTCAAGTGTAAAAATGTTGTCTCACGAAAACAATTTTGTGTCACGTGAACTTAACCCTTATTATGAATGTTGTTGGGCTCCTTTTTTTATTTATAAGTGGGTTTTGAAGGTGAGTTTACGTCGATTGGTAATTCCTCTGGTGGTTATTAATGGTTTATAGTTATCGCAGGTGAACCTTCATGGCTATAAGGGTTTTAGCAACTTCTTGATTCAAACTAGGGCTGTAAACGAACCGAACGTTCAGCGAACCGTTCGTGAACCGTTCGGCGGGAAGTTCGTTTATGTTCGTTTATTTAATAAATGAACGAACATGAACAAATTTTTTTGTTCGTTTAGTTAAACGAACGAACATGAACAAGAGTCTCGTTCGTTCATTTATGTTCGTGAACGTGCGTTCATTTATGTTCGTGAACGTTCGTTCGTTTATGTTCGATTATGTTCGTTTATGTTCGTTTATGTTCATTTATGTTCGTTTATGTTCATTTAGGGATGTTCATTTATGTTCGTTTAGGCATGTTCGTTTATGTTCATTTATGTTCATTTAGGCATGTTCGTTTATATTCGTTAAGACTGTTCGTTTATGTTCGTTCGTTTACGTTCGTTTAACTTGTTAACGAACGAACATAAACGAACACGAACACATCATATTTCTAAACGAACGAACACGAACACAATTATTTTCGTTCGTTTACCGTTCGTGTTCGTTCGTTTGTTCGGTTAAGTTAAACGAACGAACACGAACAAGCCTCCGTTCGTGTTCGTTCGGTTCGTTTACAGCCCTAATTCAAACCCAAGGAAGATAAGATTTTTACCACATCTCATAAGTCTTAACGAGTGTGTTACATGCCAAGTGGTTATTGTTGTTGGTTTTTGCTACGATTAATTTCAACCAGTGCCAGACCTAGGTTTTTTACTGAGCGGGTGCACTTAAAGTCCTGCAAAGGTGTCCAATATATGTTGGCCGAATTCCATTGTTTTGAAGGATTTTTAAGTTTTTTTTTGTTGATTTCGGGATTTTTTTTGGTTTGTTGGTTGATTTCAAGCAACATTTTTCGAGTATTTTGGTTAAGGTTCATTGTATTTTCTAATATTTTAGAGCACCCTTCAAGGTTTAACAGACATATCTTTCATACCCAAAATAAAAATTCTACTTACAAAAATAAGTTGAGAGAATGCACGGAACCCCACTTGGGGTTTAATAAGTTTGCCCCGATTTTAACTTATCATTTTAAATTAGGGGTGTGCAAAACCTGAACGGTTCGAAACGTGAATCTGAATCCGAAAATAAGGTATTTATGCTAAACCGGAATGCTCCAAAATTTAATCTGAAAACCGACTTTCGGATAAATTTTGGGTTCGGGTTGGGTTTAATTTTTGCCACTCAATCCATCCAAAAACCCGAAATATGTAAACATATATATTTACTTATCTAATTATCTTTGAAAATTCTAAAAGTCCTAGTCGGTCGTGCTCTTTTCTAATTTCTAAGCATACTATCGATTTATCAATATTCTAAATCGATTGAATATATATATATATAGGGGCCTATTCAAGGGAGAACTGAGTTGTTTGTGGTAACTGTGAGAACCAATATTAACCACAAATCAATAGATAAATTATGAAATTTATAAATTTTGTAATTTTAAATTAAAATCTTAATGCAATGATATTTTTGGTATTTTAAAACTCTCCTCTCTCCTCTCTTCTCTCTTCGGCCACCGTCCTCCGGTGATACCACTATGATACCACTGTGATACCTAAAAATATTGACTCTGTTAAACAAAAGATACATTGTGATACCTAATCATATATAAGATGCATAGTGATACCACTGTGTTACATCTTCGATCGACCACATAAACGACATCAATGTGATACMYAAGCAYATATATGATGCATTGTGATACCATTGTAGTATCATAGGAGGACGGTGGCCGGAGAGAGAAGAAAGGAGGGAGGAAAGTTTTAAAATACCAAAAATATCCTTGCATTAATATTTTAATTCAAAATTGCTAAAATTATAAATTTCCTAATTTATCTATTGATTTGTGGTTAATATTGGTTCTCACAGTTACCACAAACTAATTAGTTCTCATTTGATTAGGCCCCTATATATATATAGGGGAGCGATCAAATAAAAACCACTCAATTTGTAAAAACCGTAAAAACCTCATTCCACCAATCATAATTTTTCATGTTGTTCATATTTTTGTAATTATAAGAGGTTGATTAATCATTTTTATTGTGGATGATGTTAATCATAGATATTATCATCTTCATTATTTTAATTTTAGAGAAATACATGAAACAGTTTCATTAAAATTTCATTAAGTAATATATGAAACAATTTCATAACCATATATGAAACAACTTCATCAAAAAAAGTATTATATGAAACAATTTCACAAGATTAAACAATTTCATGAAAAAATTTCATAAGATTACGACGAATGAGAGTAGTTTTTACGATTTTTTACAAATTGAAGTGGTTTTCATTTGATCGTTCATCTCTCTCTCTCTCTCTCTCTCTCTCTCTCTCTCTATATATATATATATATATATATATATATATATATATATATATATATATATGGCATTATAAGAATCTCAAACCCGACCAACCTTAACTCAAAACCAACCAGAACCCGAAGCAATCTGAAACCCAAAAATCGGGGATTGATTTTCATCCGAAATCCGACCGGGTTTTTGATTTGCCCACCCGAACACCCCCCGGTCTCACCCCATGCACACCCTACTTTAAATAGATAGATTTGTGTTATATTTTATTTATATGATTAAATTAAAACTTCAATTAAAAAAAATGTCAAATTCATTCAAATGTTTACAACAGTTTAAAAAAGGTGGACCACACATTCTTTTCAGGACCTAGATATTATGTATATCCAAGTTGGCTTTGGAATGTCGTATTTAAGTTCATGTTGTGTTCCGTGAACGTAACGTTTTGATACATCTATCTGTTTAAAAACCAGACTAAACAAGAAATCGATCATCATAGCTTGGCGTACAAGATAAGTACGGTGTTGGTATGTCGTCCCGTAAGTGAAAAACGAGAAGAAATACTGGTTTATACAGGAAGAGTTACGATAATGCGAGAAGTTGACCAACTTACAGTAACTCAATAAATGGTTAAATCACATGTTATACAATACATCCAGAAGGACTACGCGATCATCAACGCTACCAAGATCACATAAAAAGTCACATGTGCAGTGACTAGTTAACACGCGTGCGTCGTTCACGTGTGATTACAAATCAAGTTATGTTGATTATAAGTTGATCAACAAAACAAGTACGCATGTGGGTTGTGCTCAGTCACGTGTGATTTGGATGCTCTCACACTTCTCGTGAATTAACCGTCTTATCGTTTGAACCTGACCTATCGTTTGAAACAATTTAGTATGACCATAAAGTTCAAAAAGTCAAGTTTCGTCAATTTTTAGACCTAAAAATCCGAAGCCAAATTGTTTGAACATTATGACATGAATGTGACGGAAAAAAAAGAGTTGTTATCTACTTTTGGAGAGACAAATATACGAGGAAAAAACGAAGAACAATCAACGTTTTGTTGTTATTGTTGTTGTGTGTCAATATGGGGGCGTAGAGATCGTACATAGTTAGGTTTGTCAATTCATGACAGAGACACCGGTTGGGGGCGATGACGAAGATACATCATGTCCAACAAAGGTCTTGATTCAAAGTCTGTCTTATTTATGTATTTTGTTTTATGGTTTTCGTGCAACTTTATAAAACAAACTTAAAACAGACTCCTAAACATTGACACCATGTATTGTTACTGTTTCTACCATCCCAAAAAAACAACGTGACTAATAAGAACCCTTTTTTTTGCATATTCAACAAATTAAGAACTGTCATAAAACTCTACCACGTGACCAGAAACTTATTAACTAATAGTAATTAATGTACAATTTTATCACTTATCTCTTAATCGTTCAATTAATAGACAATATCTGAATCACTAAGAGATGAATATTGTTTAGCAAAAAAAATATGTCTTTTAATGGTTTTAAAATCCTCTGAATGATTTCGTATCTTGAGCCTTCCTTAACCATTCAGTACCCTAATTCTATTGTAAACAATCACGGAACAATTATATCTCATTTTGCACTATATCACGAGAGCCTCTTAGGGGTTGTTTGTCTATCTCTTAACAGTTTTATTAAAAGGCAACCTCTGAATCACTAAAAGGTAACGTACTTTAACTTGATTCATATTTTGAGTAACGTACTTTCAAAACTTTTATTTTGGTACATAAGATGTAAAGTTTTAAACATTTAAGTATTCGGATAACCGGTTGAAGTATTAATCGGTTATCATGCTGATGTGGCAAGTGATGAAATGAAATTTGGCTGAATAGCAAATAATACTGAGTTGGATCACATCACTCGTCACATCAACATGGTAACCGGTTAATGTTTCAACCAATTACCTATATACTTAAATGTTTAAAACTTTACATCTTAGGTACCAAAATGAAAGTTTTAAAAGTACATTACCTAAAATAAGAATCAAGTTAAAGTACGTTACTTTTTTTAATACAATTTACCCTTATTAATTTGATAATAGTTGGATGATATTGGATTGTATCAGTTCAGTTTTATTGGATTATGAATTACCATTCAAGAACCGACCAAGTCAATTTAGATATCGAAGTTTTGTATAGTCGATCGATTCTAATTGGATCGATCAGTATAAATTGAAGCGGATAACTTTTTTATACACAGGGGGTGTTTTTTAACTTTTATTTATACATCAGGGTCTATTATGTAAATATTCGTTTTCTAAGCGACCCCAAAAAAACACCGCTCCCCCTGTCGATCTGAATTTTGCCCACTGGATTCTCTTTGGAGATCTGCGAGAGAGGTAATTCTTCGATCTTCCTTTTTCCCTACGCATATTTGCATCAATTGAAGCTTTAGATGTGCCAATTTACATAGATCTCGTTGATTTGCCGTGGATTTGCTAGCATGTTCAATTATTTGATATCGTTATTCGTTTGAATGTACCTCTGATCGCGCTGATTCGAATCGATCCATATTTACTTCGTTATAGTTTTTATCGCCGATTGTTGTGGTTGTAAATACATGATCGGTGGAACCGTGGAAGCAATTGTCTCATTTTGATAATTTTTTCACGACAAAATTGATCCTGTGTTCTTACGATGTCGCGTGTGCTTGATGATTAATAATGTGATTCGTTTATATGATAGCTTAGGGTCCGTTTGTTAGCAGCTTAACGAGCTTAATATGATATACATGATCGTTTGGTAGTCGCGATATAGAAACCTGATTATTCGGTAAGATTAGGGAGCTTTACACGCCCCTTCCAATTAAAAAACACCACTCAAACAACAACCTTTACAACCTATACAGACAGATTAATCAACAACACAGTCTTTGGACTTGATGGAAAACCCAGTCCCTTAGTTGAATTTTGAGCATCGATAGGTCTGGTTTTGTTTGGATCGTTTTTTCGGTATTTGGTAGATGCCTAGATACTTGAGCTTATGCTTCTACTTACTCTACCATGCCCTTATAAGAACTACATTTGATCTTTTTGATGTTGTTTCAATCAATTTTTTCGAAAGTAGAATTGGTAGATTTTGTAGCAATTTTAACATGAAAATATTCTAATCAGCAGTAACCGTAAGAATTCAATGGTTTTCAATTTTGTTTAGCCAAAAGCTGTAAGAAATGTCAATTTTGAATCGAAATGTAGTCTATAGACATCCATATCAAAGTTGGGAGAAACCATAGGGGGTAATAAACTACTGGTTCTAGAATAACGAGATCAAATAATGGACAATGCGAACAAATCCACAGCATATCAATGAGATATATTATCATCGTAAGAGATGATGTAGATTGGCACATCTAAAGCTTCAAAATGATGCAAATATGCGTAGACAAAAAGAAACATCAAAGAATTAACCTCTCGCAGATCTCGAAAGAGAATCATGTGAGCAAAATTCAGATGGTTAGACTTAGGGGGAGCTAGCGGTGTTTTTGAGGGACTTGGCTTAGAAATCAAACATTTATAGAATAGACAACCTTAATCCATACTATTGACATCAATATTTTTAGTTGGAAGGGACTTGTGATTGAATAGGAGGGACACTAAATAGGATTGGTGAACGAAAATAAGGCAGATGAAATTTTTTTATTACGCAATAAGTGTTTTAATTTGATTAATAATTTACTAATCTTGTCTTATCAGTTATTTCTCTGGTTTCTGTTCCATCTATTTTGGCTCTTTGACTAAAACTGAACGAGGTGGCAATTCTAATGATGTGTATTTATATACAGTGTCCAGTAAAGAAGTAATTTATAACCATTTGAAGCAACACCAAGATGGGGCTGACTTTTACCAAGTTGTTTAGCCGGTTATTTGCCAAGAAAGAGATGCGAATTCTTATGGTAGGTCTTGATGCTGCTGGTAAGACTACTATATTGTACAAATTGAAGCTTGGAGAAATTGTGACAACGATTCCTACCATTGGTGAGTCGTGGTTGCTAGCATAGTCAACTATTTAAATATCTTTAGTTTTGTCTTAATGGTTGGTGCTAGTTCATATTATGATACTATTTATTTTGTGGTTCATATTATGCTACTATTTATTTCATGCAATTACTTTTATATTTAATCATCCAAGGATGAAAGATAATTCATTGTTGTTTTGGTTTATAGTTGTACCCTGGATGCTACTATTAGATACATATGTTAGGAGGAGAAAGGGGCATTATAGGAATTTTTGAGTAGTCTGTTGTATAGGGCTAAATAGGGGAAATCGCATTTTAAATAGATGAGAGGTTAGGAGAGGACATTCTGTTTTGTAAACTCCGTTTGGGGCGTGAGTCCTGTGGAGAGATTCTGCCTCTCGAAAGCCAGAAAACCCTTTATTAATCTTTAGATTGTGAGTAATACAACCAGAAATTACCAATGATTTTACTGTTTCGATTGGGTGTACATCCCAGTAGTTTCAAGTTCCTATATGTTCCAATAAAGTATGTGCTAAAGTCAAGAGTTAAGACTATTTTAGTGCAATCTAAATTAACATATATGTATATACGTAGAGACATATATACATACACATATATATAGATGTACACGTGTGTGTGTGTATAGATGAGGGTTTTATACCTATGTCGGTACATGATATGCTAAACGTGCTGAACATACCATCATGAAGATCTCCGTAGTGCATTAGTATTGTACCTGTGACTAGCTTAATAGTAACAGCCGTGTAAGGTTTAGATGTTCATCCTTCGAGCTAATTTTTAGAATAAGAATTACCAACATGCACTCAATTTTTAGAAAAATGTATACTACTATAATACTTTTAAGGGGGCTTGCAAGGAAACTAAAATGTAGGATGTTTGGTATCATGAGGAAACTATAAGATGCGGGGGGAGGTAAAAAAGTAACTGGGGTAAAGATAACTATACCATGTATATGGATACAAACCGAACAAAATGGACCCATCTGAGAAAGTGTTCACGCCCAAATTAAACAAACTGACTGAAAGCAATAATATTACAGTTTTGGTTTTGGGAACTGTGGATGATTTTCTTTTTTGTAATTGTGTATAGATGTTTGACTACTGTCTCAATTATGACTTCTTCAGGCTTAACTTTTTATAATGGTCATGCTCATGGATGAAGGAATCATGTTCTCTTAATATGTAATAATAATTTTGTGATATCAATAAATCTTTTTCAGGATTCAATGTTGAGACTGTTGAATATAAGAATATCAGCTTCACTGTTTGGGATGTTGGTGGCCAAGACAAGGTTTGTTTTTTTATTTTTTATTCTTTTTCTTGTTTGACTTTTACTACTATATCTTTTCCTCTAAATGTGTAAATTATAGAGTTTACCCTCTTATGTTTGGTTGTTGCTAGATTCTTCTATGAGTTTGAATTACAGTTGGGCAATGGTTGATGAAGAGCCAACTATTTGTGTAGCAAAACCTTGTAAATAGTTGGATGGCAGATAAATTCACTAGAGTGGTAAAAATTGGGGGGGGGGGTTTGGTCCACAAGATTCCTATGGAATAAGATGGAATTGGAATGGTCAATTCAGTCGAACAAATTTCATTAATGTTTGGCTTACACATGGAATGGAATTAAATTCCATACATTCCACCAACCATGGATTCATCATTCCATCATAGTGGGGAAGGAATTGAATTTCATTCCAACCAATTTTCTTAAAATGACAACTACCCCCATTAAACCAATTTTCTTAATTAAATTATTATTATTTATAATAAAAAACAAATTCAAAGAAAGGGTATTTTGGTCATTTTTCATCATTTCAGTCCAATTCCTCTATAAACCAAACAAACAGATTCCAATTCATTTGACATATTATATTTTCATTTCCTGCCAATCAAACACTTGGCCAAAAGGATAATGTTCCATTCCAATTCCTTATAGATTCCAATTCCTTTGATGGATTACATTCCTTCAAAAAAGCATTCTGCAAACAAAACGCCTCCCAAGTATATTACTGTACTTTTCTGTTAATCAGGAGGGGCATGTATGGTGCAATAGTATAATTTGTACAGGGGTCTATCATTGTTCATAATTTCTCGACTACGATGTTGAAGAATGTATAGGAAATTTTAGTTGATGGGGAGTTTGGATTGATCCATAGTTTTGTCAAATATTATAAGAACAGCTTTTTACTAATAGACTACTTGATGCACTTTTCGGTGCGTTAGCATCATGAACCAGGTGACACCAGGATATGTTCAAAAGAAACTCGAGCGAGTAGAAGTGCGCCTAGTTGAAAGCTAACGTATTTGAAACTTGTATAATGATTGTTGGCATTTCTTTTTTACTTCTCTTTGGTGAAATAACGTAGTTTTGCTCATTTACAGATTCGTCCATTGTGGAGGCACTACTTCCAAAACACACAAGGGCTTATCTTTGTGGTGGATAGCAATGACAGGGATCGAGTTGTTGAGGCAAGGGATGAATTGCATAGGATGTTGAATGAGGTATGCGATTTGCAACTTTGAGTTCAAGAACTAACTTGATTGGACCAATGGGTCATTGGCGTTGCCACCTTGCGGTATTCCTAGCCTCTCTGGAGGTTAAGGGTTCAAACCTCACCGAAGAATAGGAGTATACATGAGTTTTTGCTGTATATAAATATTAGAGTAAATTACGTTTTTAGTCCCTGTGGTTTTGTTAAAAATTGCATTTTTCGTCCTCATGGTTTAGAAATCTGGTTTTCGTCCTGGTGGTTTATAATTCATTGCTATTTTCATCCTTATGATTTACAATTTATTGTTGTTTCGGTCCCTGTGGTCTACAATTTGTTACTGTTTTGGTCCCTTGTACTTAAAGGTAGGAATTAGTCCAAGGACGAAAATAGCAATAAATTGAAAAAATTAGGGACTAAAATCACAATTTCTAAACCACAGGGATGAAAATCAAAATTATTAACAAACCACAGGAAATCGTAATTTACTCTATACTATATACTTCAGAAAAGAAAAAGAAATAACTTGATTGAACCTTTCTCCAAATATGATGGCAACCTTTGACAATAGTTCTTTGCATCGACAATTCTAATATATTATTGCATTTTCTCATATGGTTTGACAAATATGTACAAATTATATTCTGCATGCTACTATAGTTTCAAAATATTGCCTCCGACCCGAATTCCGAATCCTTTCTTTTTGTGATTATAGATTGCATCATTTTATCACTTTGATGGTATCATCAATGATCATGACATGATCATATCATTTCTACCTAAAAGTACTCACTTCGACCACATGACTAGGTTTCAGAGACGGACAGAGAAATTTTTTCAAGTTGTAACACCATTTGACTATAAAAATGAAGCTATGGATATTCTTTACAAAATTATCACTGGTCTCTTGGTTAGTTTTTGTATGTGAGGTCCTGTGTTGACTCGGGACTAGAGGCGGACCCATTTTTTTTCAAGTGGTAGCACAATTTGACTATACAAAATATCTAATTTTTTTCTTCACAATATTAGTATAGATATGTTGTTTGATCTCTTATCCTTACATAGATTAGACCCATGCTCGAGTCCAGTCTACATATATTTTTATATACACAAGAGATAGAAATGAAGTGGCTTAGACAAATCTTTTATAAAGAAACACCAAAATGTAAGCTAAAATTTTTTTTTTTTGAAAACTATGGGGCTCAAAACTGGGCTTTTGTACAAAGGCAAGATCATTTACCATCTTATCCATTAAAGTCTTGTGCTAACATTTCAATTTCAAATACCATATGGGGCACCCAACAAAACAATATGGTGGCAGGCACCCTTTAGAAACGTAAATTTTTCCCTTAACAAACGGAACCATGAAGCGGTTCCACGTGGGTCCGCCCTGGCTTGGACACCCACGATTACCAAAAAAAAACCTTGATGCACGATGTACTTGGTTTCTAATTCACGTGGGACTCGGGGCACTAGGGTTTTTGGATTATGGATACAATTAATAATTAGCCTTTGTATTTATTGCTTAAAAACTGAAATATTAAAAACCCTGTCTCTCTATCTTCGTTTAAGGACCTTTGAGGCATAGTTTTTTATATTGCATAATATCATTGTCACGAAGTTTCTCACTACACGCAGGATGAACTTAGAGACGCTGTTTTGCTGGTCTTTGCTAACAAACAAGATCTTCCTAATGCCATGAATGCTGCGGAAATTACCGACAAACTTGGTCTTCATTCGCTCCGTCAACGCCACTGGTAATTTACTTCACATAATCTCTAGAGAATTGCTGAAAGAAGTTGGTGAAATTTGTCCAAATAAAACATTTATTTGGAAGCTATTTTTGTCTCTCGCCAATATTCCTCACCATACAACCCAGGAGAGCAATTATGATTATTGGTGACAGGGGCGATTTAATTTAATTTAACATAATATAAAATATAATAAAAAGAGTAAACTATTTTTTGGTCCTTGTGGCTTACACGAATCATCGAAACTGGTCCTTAGGTTTCAACAACTATAATTAACATTCTTATTATTTACATTTTGTGTTGAAAGTCGTTCCTGGACTTAATCCCGTTAACTTTTTTTTCTGTTAAGTTAGGGGTATTTTATTCTTTTTATTTATTTTCTTTATATTATTTTCAGAAATTAATATATAATATCTTTTAATAATATATATGAGTTATACATACATATACACACACATGCAAAACGTCTTCTCCATGTCCAGCAGCTACCTCACCCCCACCTTCCATCTCCGGCAGCTACCCCACCCCCATCACCGACGCACCACCCCTTCTCTCTCTTTCTCCCATAACAGGAGATGTGGTGAGATCAACTTGCTTTTCCTGGTTCATGACCCCCAAACATCATAGAGAGACAGGGACACACAGACACAGGGACCATCTCTGGTGAAACAAGGGATTTTCTTTCTTTCTGGAAATCACAGCAAGGTGATGAGGTTGGTGATGGATGAGGGGGAGTGTCAATGGAGATGGTGGTCGGTAGCGGGGATGGGTAGTAAGGGCCTAAGGCATGGAGATGGTGTCTGGGTGATCGAACAAAGGTGGGAGAGCGGGAGCGGGAACGGGAACGGGAACGGGAACGGGAATTGGAATGCGAGGGTGGAGAGCTAGGACCGCCGGTGGGTGTATATATATATATAATATGAGTAAATTACATCCTTGGTCCCTGGAGTGTATAACAATGCTAATTTCTTAAATTAAAATAAAGAAAATAGATAAAAAGACTAAAATACCCTTGGTTTAATGGACGTTTTTAGCTGAGTTAGTGACCAGTGACGACTTTCAATGCAAAATGTAAACAGTAGAGATGTTACTTGTACTTACCAATTTTACCCTATGAGATTGAGAACTTCATTACTCTCTATTATTGAGGGTACAATTGTCATTTAGTTAAGAGTAAACTACGATTTTCGTCCCTGTGGTTTGTTAAAAATTGCAATTTTCATCGCCGTGGTTAAGAAGTTGCTGCTTTTCGTCCTATGGTTTCTAAATTTATTGGTATTTTTGTCCTTATGATTTATAATTTATTGATGTTACAGTCCCTCTGGTTTACAATTCTTTTTGGTCTCTAGTACTTAAAGGTAGGAATTAGTAGGGACGAAAATAGCAATTAATTGCAAATCATATGGATGAAAATTGCAATTTCTAAACCACATGGACGAAAATCAAAATTATTAAGGAAACCATAGGGATGAAAATCATAATTTACTTTTTAGTTAATTAAAAAGTGCAATAATTACACAGTTCTAAAACCGTATGCCTTTTTTACCATGGACACTTATTTTGGGATTTACAGAGTAGATAGGAAATGATGCAATTTTCATGGGACATCCAAATAGGAAATTGTTGCAATGTCTGCCGTTGGTCAACGAAACTCGTATTAGAAGGGGGTATTTTTTATACACACGATCGTTGTGGTCACGACATGAATATATCTTGTCCGAATGCGTAAATATAACGGAAGTTTTGAAATCGATTTGGTTTCTCGTCTTCAGGTACATTCAGAGCACATGCGCAACATCTGGTGAAGGTCTTTATGAAGGGCTCGATTGGCTTTCCAACAACATTGCTAACAAGGCAAGTTAAATTGTAACTTAAAGCCGTTTACTAAACGCTTACCCAGTAAATGCTTACTTGGTCACTTTACCGAGCGACTGTAAGGACCGAAAGCCTTACCCGATAAGTGAGAGTTGCGACTCTTGGTAAGCGTTCACCGGATAAAAATGTTGCATACGATGTCGTTTTAATAAATTAAAATCTTACCTGGCAAGTTAAAATGAAAAAGTTGAATCTTACCATGTAAGAGCTTACCGGTAAACGGCTCCTTGGTTTCTTAATCAATGTAACAAAGTATTAAAATACCAGTTCAATAACAAAGTTTTAAATTTATCATTTTTTCACGCATTTTGACCAGTAACATGATGATTTTGTAAAATTTCATCACACGTTCACTTTGCTGTAACCCTTTTGTAAATCTTTCATGTAAAGGAATAACCATGTCATCAATGTTACAAGATCATGAAACATTTTTTTTTCTTCGATCAATGTAACAGAAGTTTCAAAATTTCCTATTTTTTACCCATTTTAAATGGTAAGAAACCCCATTTGCGTAAAGTTTTTTTGAAGTATATAATATTTATATACGGTAAATGCCATAAAACACCCACCTCACCTTTGGTGATGTTTGAACCCCTGACCTTCTAGGAGGCTAAGGACTACGATACCGCTAGGCCAAAGACTTTTTGGTATTTTTTTCCTTTTTTTTTCCAATATGAAAAGAGGATTTACACAAACGTGTAAACTTTGGCTAAAATGAGAATTGAATGCCAAAAATAGCCAAAAAATAAATCTAGTTGAGGAGATTGACTATTTTAGTCGATTTTATTTTCCACTTTGCCGTAACCCGTAAATCTTTTGTAAACGGTCGGGTATCCATGTCATCAACTGCTATAAGATCAACATGTTATTGGTCAAAATGGGTACAAAATATAAAATTTTAAAACCTTGTTGCCTCTATTGAGATAAAAATTCTTTGTTACACTAAATAAGAACTAAACCAAACTTTGTTACATTTTGATGCATTTTTGCCCTGAAGTAAACGACTACAGACATTTTTTATGGATAAATGTTGTTCTTCTCGACTACTTTGGATGCCTTAGCTTTATTCATTTGGTGATCGATACGTTGTTGCAGGCATAAGAGTACAAGCGGTTTTGGTTGCCGGTGGAGAGGAGACATCGTTTGCCGTTTTAGTATATACATCTTTCGTACCGGTGGTAGTTAAAACTAATGTCCGTTATTCTTTCCGCTTCAAAATATTACTGTAGATGGATAAATATCGTGTTGTTCGAGTGATTGAACCCGATTATGCTCGAAACTACTTGAAGGAATCATGTTGTTCTGAAAAGAGATCGATTGCGTCAAAGATCCATTTGATTATTACACTTTTTAACAATGTAAATGACAATTTTACCCTTGAGAAAATTTTTCCCTCTCATAATTTACCGTCTGGTTGGCAAATGAGCGGTTGACTTTGCCCAAATACAAGACAACCCCTTTTTGCTAGCCTTAACTGTTGAGTGAGCCAAAAATGTCCATTCGCATTGGTGTCCTTGGAGGCGGGTTCCGTGTGAGGCCGGTTAAAGTTGCTGGTAATCAACTTTTTGTCTGAATAATTAAGGGTAGAATGGAAAAATGGATACTTATTTTAGTACAAACTAAAATAAAAATATAGACACTTGTTTTAAGACGAGAGAATATATTTTTCTACTTTTATGGTAATCTTTATAATGAATATTTATTGTTAGATCGTTCGTTAATATTACGAAATACTTTTGTTTGCAATTATTGTACATATTTCTATTTTCAAATAAATATTTGTTCTGAGTGTTCAGTTATTTTTGTATGGTAGATTTTGGCTTTGATATCATGTTAGGATATATGGGATCAGATTAAAAGCTTTTCCAACAACTATGTTAAAATAGAGATTTTAAAGAATTATGATTTTTTTACTACAATGGTTATGTTAAAGTGTATACTAAGTTGGCGTTTGTTTTTTAAGAGGTGTTGAAGTCTGAAGTCTGATTTCACTTTTGATTTATAAGAGGTGATCTTGAAGTCTGAAATATTGATCAGTAAAATTGTTTGTTTTTACGTCTAAAGTCTGAAATCTGAATCGGTCAAACTAGTGTAAAAATATAAAAAATATATAGTTTTGACAAAAGTATAAAAGATAAATAGTTTTTGCTAACAAATCTTTTCCAGCCCCCAAAATATGAACCATTTGATAGATGGCGGATTAGGATTAAAATGTATTAAGTGATACATTTACCACTTAAAATTTCAGAGGACATTAAACATTTTAAACTCTTATTTTAGAAATAAAACAAACGCTCTTAAAACTCAAACGTCTAACCGAATCAGACTTCAGAAGTATTAAGAGGTAATTTTGAAAAAAACAAACAAGCCCTAAGTAGACAAAATAAGAGAGAAAGTGAACTCTAAATTTAGAGAAATCTCTAGACGATAAATAAATAATATTTTAGTATTTTCCACTAATAAGAAATATTGAAGTTAAATATTTATTAGCAGAGAAAAATTATATTTTATTAAATATATTGAATATTTTAATGATACAGTCCATGTTAGAACTGTTAAAATAGAATAATTATTAAAGCTGGATATAATTTTCTTAGAGATTTTGACTTTATTGTATTTCAGATAAATTATGACATAGCTGTTATAGATGCTCTTATACACTCCAAAAGGGTCGTTCGAGAAGAAAATAAGTTAAAGCAATGAGATGCTTAAATGAAATTCTTTTAGTTCTAATAAATGGAGGAGAATTTAGTGACATGACATGAATTCAAGTTCTGGATTTTAGAACTGAGAGAAATATCGAGAGAGATCAATAATTCTCACTATTTCTTAGATTCTTGAACCCAATTCAATTCAGTGGGATCTTTCATTCACATTTTTAGAAAAAAAAAATACAGTGTTTTCGTTCTTCGACAAAATTTGAAACCGAATTCATTTTAAACTAAAGAGTTTTGTCGTCGATGTTGTTGTTATTATTATTATTTCTCGGTCGGAAGAGTAATGATTACATATTAATTATCGCAACATCTAACTAACTACATAAAGAAAAATCAAACTTTGTAGACAACGATCACAATCAACGCAAAGATGTTTGCAACAAAACTAACCTACACGTAAACTGATAATATGCTTGGTGACGACTCACATAACCCAATTACTTTTAACTTAAAAACTCTCATAATTAGGTCTGTTTTAGTACTAAAACGACGTTTCGAAACCAGTAAGTTACAAACATGTCGGTTTTGGATTTGAAAAAAATCAAAAGGTTCGAACTTTCACGATCAAAAGTGGAACATTTTCTTTTACAAAATATCCCCGCTCTAGAAGATTCGATCCCTCATTGCCAACATTTTAAACCCGAGTCAGTAATACAACCAAACAACGACCATAACCCACATAGGGAGAGAACAGTGCAACGTATTTAACTGTTATTCATGAACAAAAGAAAGAAAAAACAGTACGATACAGAAGAAAGTACCTCAGAAAAGTACACTCAGCCGTGATTAATGCTTTTAAGTCATGTATACGAAAACCGCAAAGCAACTTTTACGACATCTGAGATGGTTCCGCATATCGGAGTTGTACTCCAAAGCAAAAAAAGACATAGAAGACATTGAAGAGTGGCAAGATGCATTGAAGGGCATGTGGGTTGGTATCAACATTTGAGCAATTTTCCAAAGTGATAAGAGACAAAGAATGATCTTGATCATGTGAAAGATTGTGGAATATTAGTGAAAGCTTAATGACCCTCTTTAATGTTATGGGTTGGCTCCACATTTCAAAAAGCCACTCACAACCATAAGAAATGAAAGAGGGTTTCTTGTCCAATTTGTTTCTTAGCCACCAAGACCAATTGTGGGTTAAGGGGTTTGGCTTATTTTGTCTCCATGTAATTAATACAAAAGACAAAAGATGGCTTAATCAGGGTTTGCTTAGACGAACAGGGTTTGTTCAAGGGGTCGTTAATTCAGGGGATCGGTTGATGAAACTGAAAGTTCATCTCGTTTGGTTTGATTTTTTTCCGATCTTCTGAAAATGATGATTTATGTCTGGAGGGGGGAGGGGGGTTTGGTTTCGATGACGTTTTTGGAAGGAGTTACTTGTGTGAGAGGAATTGGAGTGTTGGGGAGTTGGAAAAGCTTGTTTGACCACATATTTGGTTGGTGGGGAATGGAATGTAATTTAATTCTATTCCTTTAACTTTCTGTTTGGTTCATAGAATGTAGTTTCAGAATTGGGATGTAAATAATGATAATTGACAGAAATACCCTTATAATAAACTTAAAGAACTCTTGAACTCAGATTCTTGCTCCCGAGGGATGCACGAGTCCGACATACTACATCTTGAAAGATCATTTGATGCATTTTGTATTGTTAACCTAAGAAAACCCAAACCAACTCAAAATCGCATCGAAAAATTAATGATGACGTGGTACCAGAAACTCGTAAGTAGCTCATAATTCATAAATCAATTGATATAAGACGATATCGTGACACAAAATATGACAAATAACCATGGTTTTATGGTTAGTAAATATGGAAATTCATCAAACCCTAAATACAAAATCCAAAAATACCAAGAAATAGTTGATGGTATTTAATCTTATAATTAAATATAAATATTTTTAAACTTATTTTACTTTATATATATATATATATATATATATATATATATATATACACACACACACACTTCTTATATAGGGAACATTCTTTTGAAACTCTCTAATTCGTGAGATTTGTGAAGTCAGTGGATTATGTGCTATTTCATATTAATTTTTTTTTTCATCTATGACAAGAATTAATGTGATGATTAATATATATTTGTTTCACATGTACTTGGTTCACAATGTGAAACTTTATGACATGTTTGTGAAACAAAAAAGACACGTAAAAAAAAATTCACAATGTGAATCAAATATACATACGAAACAAACACATTGTAAAACAAATATATGTTAATCAATACTTTAAAAGCTGTTATTAGATAGAAAAGTTCATGTGAAACAAACTCACATATTTTACAGTTTTCAAATGATTAAGCCTCTTATGTGTATATATATAAAGAGTCGTGTTTATGCGAGAATGATATGTATTTAAGAAAATAAGAGAATGGTCGAACCACATGTGATTCTACACTAATATCACGTACAAAATCACATGTGAATCAAGCGACCTTGCCATGCAGCCATAGGGTTGTCCACACACTTTTTCGGCCGTTAATGTAAAATCACATATGATTTTGTACGTAATTTAACCATTCTCTTATTTTCGTACATATATACTATTCCAGTATGAACCTACATCTGTATATATATATATATATACATATACATATATTCCAAATAATTGAGTATAGAATCAAGATAATGACAACCATTGGGTTACATGATGATATGATTGGCCATAATCTATGATCACTTTGTAAAGCTTGTCTAGTTGAGCTAGCAAACAAAGAAGGGCAAACTTTACTCAAAAGGGTCATATGCACTTTCAACTTGTTCACAACTTAATGATACCTCATATCAATATCTTTTTAGCCTTTGACAAAACTACTAAGCATTCTTGTTTAGTGACTTAACCCACACTTAATCTACCTTTTACGTGAATGCACATGAGAATCGACCCCACGACCTTTGGATCAATCCTCGTAAAGTACAACAAACCTGTATGGGTTGTAACCGACCCTGTTACGAAAAAACGAGACTAAGAGGGCCCATTTGTCCTGACATGATTTAACCTAATGTTTGACATTGATTATGTCATATATTTTAAAACGTCATGGAATTAACATGACGTGCTCTTCAAAAAAAAGTGTTTGACGTATAATTGGTTTACAAAAATAAGCCCGTATCCCAGTTATGTATTATATTGGTCCATACGGTTTCAGTTCTAGAATTGGTGTGATATTTGTTGCAATTGGTCCACAAACTTGAAGTTGTGGTCGTTTTTTGGATCTGAATGAGCCTAATTGGTTCTTCAGGGGTTTTCTTTAGACACTGCGAATCTAGATAACAACGTATTTAAGCCTTTTATTTTGTGTTTTCATCTCTCGGATTTCTACTAAAACATCACATAATTATAAAAAAATAAGCATAAATGAGTAGAATTGAATCACAAACCAAGTTGTTGATCGATTCAATCTTGAATTTTGCGGTTGCAAACATATACTGATTTTCACATACGGAAATCCTATCCTTTCTTCAGAAGAAAACACGATCATTTACATACGTTAAAGATATCTTGAACTATTCTTAAAAAAACAACAAACACCATGATCTTAAACACTGTTACGAAGAACCACAAACTTCGTCTTATTATAAGTACAACCTTAAAAAACTAGGGTTTGCATACGTTCTTAGTTACTCAAAATCTTAG